ATTCATTCTGCCTGCTGAAAATCTCAGAGCGCAAAACCTTACCTCTGGCTCAGATTTACAACAGGAGAATGCATAAATTCTTATTGTTTTCTTCTTATTTCTTGTCACCTTTATTTGTCTCTACATTTACCACCATCTGGCCATGCTTGCTTTCTGGGCCATGCTTCCTGACTGCGTGATCATTTTTTATACTGGGAGAGTTTGTTGGGGATAAAATATGAGAATGGAACAGATTCAGAAGTACTACCTTTCTAAAATTAAATTAATTAAGCATGATTAACAAATATAAATGCCCCACCCAGCCACTGATCTGGCTGGTTTGTCCAGGAACTCTAGATCAGGGTAGAAAGCAAAGGGCTTACTTAACTGGACATCAGGAGATTAAAGAATGTAATGAGCTTAAGATTCTTAAGATGAATACACAAAATCATTCTACATTCTTTTTTAATCCTGGGATGGTACTAAGTGCCACTAACTTTGATTTCTTACCTTACATTACCCCCAGACAAGCTTTAAACAGGCAGCTCTGCGTATTTCAGATGTTCTAAAACTAAAGAGTGGTTCATGGGATCTGGAGTCAGAAAATCAGGGTTCCACCCTCACTGCTAAAACTTATTAACAGCATGACAATGAACAACTCATGTAACTTGTTAAGCCTTAGTCTCCTTAGCTACAGAATAAACAGAAGAACTGGCCCTGCCTACCTGACAGAATTTTTATGGACATCTGGAAAGATCATGTCTATAAAAATACTTTATAGTGTTACATATGTAACGCAGTAGAAATGTTTATTATCATGATAATATATAATTACATCATTAGAGGGGCTAACAGTTTTGTCCTATTTTTTTCCTTTTTCTGTTAACATTTAAGTGAGTTAGTACATGTTAGAGTAGTATCTGATATTTAATGTTCAATGAATGATAGCCCTTAACATTATTACTATAAGACCTAATTCCCAAAAGCCTTTATTATCTCTTGAAGAAGAGACCACCTGGGGATTAAGGGAATGCAACTATGGAAGTAAGAATGACTGCCTATCCAATATAAATGCCTACTTCCCACCCCCACTCTGAGGCAGTATAAAAGGGAAGAGTAGGAAGAGATAAATCTGGGAACCTTAATCTAAAAGAAGAATAGCTTAAAAGTGGAGGACTGGCACAGAGTACCCAAAAGAAATTTATTCCCTCACAATCTTTTTTTACCTGAAGCTGACTCAGAAGCTTAAATTTCTGTATTTCCTTCTCCTCTTTACTACTGATCTTCTGTGTAACCTTAAAGTGAACCATTTAACCACTTGGTGGTCTTCCCAGGTAAAAATGTGATAACGCCCACCTGTCCAAGATGGACTGATTACATGATCATAAGAATGTATCAAGATATAGCTTATTATAAGTTGCTCAAAAGAAGCAACATGCTATCAAACCTCTAAACAACCAGGTATTTTCCTTATTTTTCATACTTTTTCTCCTTCTCTCCCTTTCACACATATACACATTTTGGCTGTAGTAATAATAATAATAATGTGGGAAGGGTTCGAGTATTAACAGTCACCAGATTAAATTTGTTAGATAGGAAATGGAAATTTTCTTGACTTCATAGAGGTTAGAACAGATCACAGTAAGGGTTTCTTAAGAAAGCTTCCTCAGGTTAATCATTACCAACTCATATATCACTCCTCTCCTCTTTAACACATGTGGAAATATTTTATTGGCCTGTGAGATATAGTGAAATAATACAAACACTTTTATGTTAGGAATGTTAGTACTCCATTTGTTCTGTTCTTTCTCTCCTGTGAAAAGAAAATAATCTATTCAGCATGTTTGAAATTGTTAAGTGATTAAAATCTTATTAGAAAATTGCTTCTTCTAAAAGTTAAATGGAGTCTCTAAAGTATGTAATGCTTTTAAGAACTTAGAAGCTCACTGACAGATAGCAGATAAGGTATAGGTTAGGCTATAAATGTGAGTTATCATACAAATGTAAAGTACTTAGACATATACACACACAATTATTTTTTTCATGGTAGACGATGTGAAAATTAAATATACCAAGAAGAAAATCTATTTCCTTGAGTGAGGTAGGAAGCTAAATAGGTCATGCAGATAGAAACAAAAATTCTATGAGGAAAAAGAGAGAAAACTAAACATGGTAAGATTATATAATACAATTGGAAAAATGATTTATCTTTCAATATTTTTCCATATGATCTTCCTATGAACTTTTCTTGGTGAGAAATAGAATTCAAAAATACCCCAAATTTAGGTTCACACAAACTCTAAGGTTGAAGGATGGGCTTTGTAAAAAGATTTCAACTTCTAATGACTATTAAGTTTGGGCTGTAAATACTGAAGAGCACTGCCTACTTTGTTGCCTACTTAGCAGGAAAAAAGATGGAAAGAAAGAGCAAGAGTAATGAAATACACATAATGGAATATCCATAAAAACAGAAATTCAAATTAACAAAATGAGATCTTTTTTAAAATAAGAAAAAAATGTAATTAATATTTTCTACTAAAAGCAACAAAATATAAACTAATAGACTCCCGTTAAGAGATTACTTTAAATTAGAAGAAACAAAACTTATGATAGTATTTGCTGAATCTTAAGAATGGAAAAAGGACACATGCATGCCCCAATACAGACTAGAAAGAGGAGAAGAAAACACACTATAGGAGACTTCCAGATTAGTCATCTTCCATCCAGATGTTGATAGCAGGCAGTTGGTATAATGAAAGATGTGCATTAAGTTTTATGGACTTAAAATATGAATGTTTGAAGCTGTGTATTACGAATAACCAGCAGTTATTTATCACAGGTGTCTTTCATTTAAGTGTCTAATCCTCTAACCTCAAAACATTAAACTATCGTATCAATTTCTTCAGGGAGTTGGCCATCTGTTTTGCATCACAGAGAAGCAATCTAAATCGAGCCCTCATTTACTTTATTTTATTCTTCCTACTTTCCAGGATTAATACTCGATTGCAAGCAAAAGCTGTATGACAACATACCTCTATTATGTACAGTTTGTAATAAGCAAAGCACACAATGACAACCATAAATATTAAGGAATATCAGGTTCTTAGGCGCCTATCACTTGATCTTACTGTGAGAAGACAGAGTATTTGGAGAACTAAATGCCTTATTAAAATCTGAAAACCTTGGGGTGCCTGGATGGCTCAGTCAGTTAAGCATTCTACTCTTGATTTCGGCTGAGGTCATGCTCATGATTCAGGAGTTGGAGCCCTACATGGGGCTCTGTGCTGGCAGCATGGAACCTGCTTGGGATTGTGTCTCCCTCTCTTTTTGCCCCTCCCCTACTTGCACGCTCTCGCTCTCTCTCTCTCAAAATGAAATAAACTTTAAAAAAATGAAAACCTTAATCAGCATGGTTTATGCTAGTTATCTATGAATGGACTATGACAGTCATTTCAACTAGGAACACACTGCCCTTAGCCACTACCCATCAATGAGAGTTGGCTTTGTGATGTTTTATAGGAATACAAAAAAACACAACAAAACTTCACTCTGTCATATGTAAATCCCCAGAAAAGGTCAGAACAAACAACAGAAACAGAGAATACATTTTAAGTTAGGTTGATAAAATAGATCTTCCCATAGGGTATCACTGCACTGCATTATTTGAAAGTATGGTGTTGGCCATGTTACAATTCTGTTCCATCACCGCACTTAGGATGGTGGACACAGAACTGTCGTGGCACATACACCCAGAAGACAAACAAACATGCTGGGTACTGTCCTGACAGACCTTTATAGAGCTGATAAAGGTGAGGAAAGATGAAAACACATATTAGAGGGACGGAGGAGAGGTCCAAATATTAAAAATGTAATCCAGGAAGTTGGAGTCTATCAAGGACTAGGATTCAGATCAAATTCACCAAGAGTGTGGAACTGTTTAAAGTGGAGTTTCTTAACAAACCCCTATTTAATCTAATAGGTCATTGGGCCCTAATCATTATTTTTAGTAATTATTTTGACCAACTCACTCTTCTCAAATTATCACTAAATAAGTCATCATTATCTCAAGTGACTTCAAAGGAAAATATCAAGAGTCCTAAATACAAATGGTTTACCAATTTGAATTTTACATAATTTGTATTTTTGGTGAATAATTTAACCAATAGGTTGTGGGGGAGAATTTTCTAAGATTTAGCAGGTTTTCACCCAACAACTAGTTTCTCTGCAAAACTCATGACTTACCTCTAACCCACATTCTATTACCTAGGATCTTAAAAGTGTATTCTGTGGAAGACTAGAATAGTCCTGCACAGCCTTTGTCACAATTTGAAACTCTATATTAAAATGTAAGTTTATTTACTCCAGCCTACATACTGTATGAGGCCAAGAACCATGTCTATCTTATTAATTCCTGTGTGTCTTGTATAAAATAGGTCATAAAAAATGGGTTTAATGTTGACTGAATGAAACATGGTACAACCTATTCATCCTGCTCCATTCCCAAACCCATTCAGCTTTGGGGATTAATCTGAAAACTAGACAATAAGATACACTGGTGTCTTCCCCATTTCTCTGTTCCCACTCTGGTGGTAATAAACATCTTCTATTAATGTTCTCAGCACACTGCATTGTAACTGACTGCCCCAAAAGGAAAGGAACTAGTTATCTGAGTGCCCGTTAATCCCTGGCAAGGCCAGGTGTTTACCTTTTGTTTCACTTTCTAACAGCATCAAGTAATGGCTTATGAAAATGATACATTCATTAGCTCAGAATATAAGGAAGTACCAGATGATATATAAGAAAAATTTCTGAAATCAAATAAAGCCAATAAAATAAAACAAAATAGATCACCTCCTTCTAAACCACACATTGATAGGATTAAAAATTGTAAAGTATCTTCTAAAAGGAGGATCCTACAAAATTAATATAACAAATCACCAAAAGTCCTATTCTTTTTTTTTCCCATGAAAAATAATTCCTTCATAATCTTTTCAGTAAAAAGCCAGGAAAGAAATACATACATGATGGTGTTAATGCCTGAGAGCTGTTGGAACATTTGCAGACCACAACCCACAATTAAAGCTCGGCGAGTTGGGGGATAACTCAGCATTCTGCAGATCACAGGTCCAGCTTTTTTAAAAAAGAAAGAAAAAGAAGGACACATCTATTATTTTCAGGTCCCACAGTCACTGTTCCCATTAGGATCAACTTCCCCAAATCTCTGTGAATAACTGAGCATTGTAAAATGGAACATACATATGTTTACAGAAATCTGGGCACGATATATTTTCTAAAACAGACTCAGCATATATTTGAGTTTAAACTGTAAAAGCAACAAGAAACAATTCAGGTTAAAGCAATTTACCAGTTCTAGGAAGACTTACATAATTGGAACTGTCAGAAATTATTCTTCCTTAAATCCCTACAAACTGCATTAACTACTCTTCGTTTTTCCACTTCCTTGGCAATTAATTATTATTTAAAATCCATTCAATGTGGGACTACTTACAAAGTTACTGGCAAATTGCTTTAATCAACCAAAAGAATGGCACTCATTAAAAACAATTAAACAAGGAACAGAATTCATTCCAATTTATTTGACTTAAGTAACAAAATTCTTTCCAATCTATTCAATTAAAGTTAAGAAATTTGGGCAAGGTATCAGACTTGGTTATGCTTTATATGGTTTATACTATTAATAAATGTTACCCAAAAGATAATAAAAGAAAAAAAATAATGTCCATTTTAGGATATATAATTTCTAGATTTTGAATAGTTCCCTAAGTGGCATTCAGTGATCTTTTTAAAATATAAATGGGTTTTCAAAATGGCACAGATGCCTTGGTCTCTAATCAGAAGAGCTGTAGATATGAGCCTCAGAGGCCTTATGTAAGGTAACTAGCCTTACTGATGTAGTACTGTCTGGGCATAATTACTAAAAGTATCCCTTCTAGTCCCAGAAGTACTTCAAGTACACCTTTACCTCAGGTTTAAGAGGCATCCTATAGAGTGTCCTGATGGGGCAGGCCAGAGTTGACTCCCAGGACCTATGCTATTCCCACTGTTAGAAGAGATGGCCTAGGATCACTGGAATGTTAACTGCTTAATTAGAGGCAATCTTACTGGAGGCCAAGTTTCATTAGTAAACTCTAAACCAAGTCAAGTTCAAAATCCAAGGAAATTTTACCATTTCAAGAACCTTTAGGATATCTAATATTCCAGTTCACAAAAATGGAATAAAATATGCTGTTGTCTTGGCAATAAAAACTAATATGGGATGTTGAGCCAGGGTATTAATTAGAACTGAGCATTAACGGAGTGAGAATATTCATTCATCTTTGCATGGATGTGATTAAAATCACATGAAAAAAAACTGATTTACTGCAAATGATTTTGTCCTGAAATGGTAAGACAGGATACAGACAGTATCCTTAATGCAGCGACAGCCCATTTAGAAAGGAGGGTGAAAGTATTGTAAATGTCAACTGTTTTAGTTTCAGGTAAAGCAGTATTAAAACTCAGTGTATCAGAAAGGCTGTGTGAAATAGGTAGATTTCCAAAGCTTTACTGTGATAATCATGAAATATATCTGGATCAGTTGTCTGAAAGGTAGCAGGTTCGCCTGCAAATTGAGCTATCTATAAATGAGCCACAACCTGAAAAACATACACAGCATCATAAAAAGATACACCCATTTCCATAAATAAAAACAAATTTAAGTGAAAAAGATTATCATTTACTTTGTGTACTGTGGAAAATTTAAAACAACAATGACAACAAAACAGAAACAAATAAAATCTCTTTTTTATCTTTTAGCACTGAGCCTCCACAGACTAAAAACTGGTGCTTTGTAAGGAATCTATTATGATCTGTGGGCAGCTGGCATCTACTTTCACTATTAAACTGTTCCATGACTCGATGGCCCATGATTTTAGGGGACAGAGAAATAAAGAGAAAATAAGGACAAATTAGGTTTAAAGTTTGACTTGTCTAAATAACAAGATATATACTATTGTACAAATGTCACATATTTATCTTCTAGTTTTTATAATTCTGACTTTTTAACTTTTTCTTGGTTTTGATTTCCTGCTAAAAATAAACAATAGCCATTCTGTTATTAGACTGGCTTTAATATACAGATAAATTCTGGTCACAGTAGTCCACATCTGATTATGCATAAATAAAAGGAAAGCTTTTCCTTTCATTAAAATTATAAGCCCAGCTTCATTAGGCAGTAAAATTGACTTAAATGAAAACTATCATTAATTTTTTTTTATCACAGAAGATATGAAGCAGAAGAAAAAAATCAAACATATTAATTGGTTGATTGTTCATAAGTGAAAATTTAAAATGTCATGCTCTACTTCCTACACTTTATTTTTGTAATTAAAAACATTTAGTGTATGCAAACATTTCACACTTAATTTTTAAAAAGCATTTGTCTTTGAGACACAAATTCCCACACAATAAAACATACTGAACTCAAAATATAACATGTACTAAAATAACAGATGAAAGGACCAAGCATGGGTTCATCTCTTCCTCCACTCTGAACACCTCATGCTAACTAACACTCACAACGGCTGGCCAGGTGTGGGTTCTCCAGCAGCAAAGGATGAGATGGACAACCCCATAAGTGTAGCCATTCCTGTTAACAGCTGTCCGTGAGTCAAGGCTACAGATGTGTCTCCAGGTACAATTAAAAATGCACTAGAACACACTGCGAATAAAATCCCAGCTCTTGATTTCCACTTCCAGCCAAGATGGAGTAATAGTTAACAGATTTACCTCCAATTTGAAACCAATTAAAAACCATGAAAAATGCACCAGATGATAGTTCTCATAATAATGGGTAATAGGCAGTGAAGGATAGTGACCCCTGAGATTCAGGAAACAAAAGAAGTCAGCCCGACAAAAATTGCCCAGCTTAATGCCTCAAAAAAAGCTTCCGGGATGCAATACAAGGAGGGGAAGTTAGGCAGACCCTGGTGGTCTCCCTGAATCAAAAAGATGCAGCTCGAAATCCAGGGATGCCAAAGTGGCTAGAGTTGCCAGAGTAGAGTGCCAGAGTGGAAGAGAGTCACAAAGAGGGGACACCGGAGATCTGTAGCCCCCTCGGGTGTTCCACTGAGTGGGTATGCATGAGGAAAGTACTCAAGGCAAGGGAGAGAGCTGCAGGAAAGAATTAAAGAAATCCATTCCAGGACTTGTTTGTACCAATCAGAGGGAGAGATCTAGAGTGTAAGGAAGAGTAATCAAAAGTACCAGGTTAAACACTGCTTGGGTACCATCCAAAAGAGCTTAAATATCAAGACCCCGTTGCTTCTAAGCAATGGAACAGCATCCCAGTACAAAATTCAGCAGTAATATAAAATTTATAATGTCTAGCATATAATAAAAAATTATCTGACATGCAAAAAGGCGGTATAGTACAACCTGTAACAGTAAAGGGACTAATTTATCAAGAGGATATAACAATCTTAAATGTCAATGCACCTAATAAAAGCTTCAAAACATTTGAAACAAAAATTGATACAACAGCAAAGGGAAGTAGAAAAACCCATGATTATACTAAAATATTTCATCACCCTCTTTTCAATAACTCATACAATTAAGTAGGCTGAAAATTAGCAAAGATACTGAAGACTTCAACAACATGATCAACAAACTTGACCTGACATTTAAACAACATTCTACTGACCAAGAACAGAATACACATTCTTTCCAACAGTAAATGAATGGTAAATGTCTTGAAATATTTACCGAGACAGATTATATTCTCAGCTCTAAAACCAGTCTCCATTAATTTAAAGGGGTTTAAGTCATAAAAAGAATGCTCTTGGACCATAATGAAGTTAATAATGAAATTAATAACTGGAAAATAACTGGGAAATTCCCTCCATGTTGGAAACTAAACAATACATTTCCATGGGTCAAAGAAACAATGGGAAATTAGAAAGTATTTGCACTGAAAGTATATGAAAACACAGCAAATGAAACTTTGTGGAATGGAGTTAATGTAAAACAGAGGGAAAATTTATAGCAATGACCTTGGCTTCCACTTTACAAAACCAGGAAAAGAGAGACAAATAAAACCCAAAATATAAGATGAAAAAAATAGTAAAGTGTAGAATAGAAATCCAGGAAATAGATAAAAAGACAGTGGAGGGTAAAAAAAAATCAATGAAACCAAAAGCCAGTTAGTTCTCTGTAATATAAATAATATTGATAAATTTTGAGCCACACTCTGGTAGGCTGAATAATAGCCCCTCAAAAGATATGCACATGAACTAATCCTTGAAAACTGTTACATGTTACCTTAGATGGCAATAAAATAACTTTGCAGATGTAATTAAGTTAAAGATTCTGACATGGCAAAGGGAGAATCAGGATAGGATGGGAGAAAAGCAATGTGGCCATGAACACAGATACAGTACTGATGAAGCCATAAGCCACGAAATGCCGGTTCCACAAGAAAATGGGAAAAGCAAAAAACCAATTGTTCCCTTAAAGCCTCTGGAGGGAGTATGACCCTGCCAACACCTTGAATTTAACCCAGTGAAATAAATCTCAAATGTGTGGCCACCAGACAGAACAAATTTTTTCCGTTTTAAGCTACCAAGTTTGTAGTGATTTTTTACATCAGCCATAGGAAGCTAATACAGAGATCAATCAGGAAAAAAACAAAGAGAAGATACAAGTTACTAATATCATGAATAAGAGAAATGTAATTGATACAGATTCTACAGATATTTAAAAGATAATAAAGGAATATTAGGAAAAACTTTGTGGCATCAAATTCAACATCTTAGATGTAATAGGCACAGTCTCTAAAAGACAGAATCTTCCAAACTTAACTAAGAAAATAGTCTGAATATACTATAAGCTACTTAAACATACTAAGTTCGAAGTTAAAAACTTTTTTTCCAAGTCTCATTGCTTTGACAGAAAGTGGATAAGGGGCACCCGGGTAGCTCAGTTAAGTGTGCAACTCTTGATTTCAGCTCAGGTCATGATCTCACGAATTTGTGAGACCAAGCCCCACGCTGGGCTCTGCGCTTACAGAGGCAGAGCCAGCTTGGGATTCTCTCTCTTAATAAACATTAAAAATTTTTTTTAAAGAAAGCAGA